AAACAATTATCTTTGTTTTTTTCTCTCATCAGCTAAGCCAATTCGAACAATTATCTTTGTTTGTTTGTTTTCGTCTCATCAGCTAAGCCAATTCAAACAATTATCTTTGTTTGTTTGTTTGTTTTCATCTCATCAGCTAAGCCAATTTGAACAATTATCTTTGTTTTTTTCTCTCATCAGCTAAGCCAATTCGAACAATTATCTTTGTTTGTTTGTTTGTTTTCGTCTCATCAGCTAAGCCAATTCAAACAATTATCTTTGTTTGTTTGTTTGTTTTCGTCTCATCAGCTAAGCCAATTTGAACATTTATCTTTGTTTGTTTGTTTTTTCTCTCATCAGCTAAGCCAAGATAATTGTTGAATCGAATTGGCTTAGCTGATGAGAGAAAAAACAAACAAACAAAGCCGGGCATAACCCTGCAATGAGTGGTGGAATGGGTATACGCGGAGGTGGTGGTATGGCAATGGACAAAATGTAAGTAAAACTTTTGTTGTTATACTGTTATCTACGTAGTTGGTGTTTAAAACTATTTACAGTAAACACCAGTCTTCGTATCCATAGATTTTACATATCCTTAACCTTTATGAAAATGTTAGTGAAGTTTTACCGCAGTGTAAGAAACACAAAAGTCTTCTTTGGTACTTGTATAAAACCATAGATAAATAAAACAACGTTTCATCAAGCCAACTTGTCGGAGATGTTATATTGAAGTGTCAAATATAGATTGTATAAACCAGAAAAAGTTTTTTTGTTAATAATGTAAGAAACATGTTAATTGTTTCTTTTAAAGTAGTTCAGCAAATAAAACAGAATTCTCTTTAAGTCAGAAGAGATGGGATAAGATATGAAGATTACAGAACATTTAAAAAATTATCATCACCTGGGACTTAAAACATTTATGCCATCTGTTCTATTGTGTTGAATAGTTTGACAAAAATCAGGTGTGGAAGTTTTCCAATGATGAAAAATGTTTCTACCACTGTTAATGTAACCGACATAGAAACACTGTAAGGTATCTGTTAGTTTAATATAGATACACAGAATATGTAGGTCCGAGTTGTAAAGGTTTGATTGATCTAATATTTCTAATAACTGATATGCATTTTTGTTTTTAGGGCCATGAACAATCTGAATACTGGAGAAACAAGGGTTATTGTTGGTGGTAAGCTCTGTAATAATTTTCGTCTATGAAACAATATTGACTTTTATGTTAACCCTAAGTCGTGTATGACCATATATATCTAATGACTGATAATTATGGATACAGTTTCTGAAACATTTAACTTCTTGATGTGAACACACTTAGTTTTCTGTGATATTTGAAGATCTTTAGTATTAACAGTTGGGATACATTCTCTTCCACCTCATTTCAATGAAATTAACAGACAGAAATATTTATTGGATTTGATTGTTATTGAAGATTAATTCTTGATAATTTTGGATACATTGTTTTAGGAAAGTCCATCACGGAGGTGGAACTAGCAGCCCTAAAGGCAAAGAAAAAAGCATCAAGGGATTCAAATGTTTCTAAGTGTAAGTTCACTTTACTATGTACGTTCACGTATCGGCAAACTTTATTAAGGTTTGGGTAGATTCTCAATAACAACTGATACTTTGAACAAAATACACTCTCTAATTAATGTTTTTTGAAACAACACATAGTTTGGACATGAAGTAAGTTTGTTTATTCAAGTTCTTGAGTAAAAAATGTACGTACGTAGTATATGTTAACTCTGTGAATTTTATGGTGCAGTACGTGTGTATAGTAGCTGTTAACTGTGTTAATTTCCTGGTACAGTACGTGTGTATAGTAGCTGTTAACTGTGTTAATTTCCTGGTACAGTTCGTGTGTATAGTACCTGTTAACTGTGTTAATTTAATGGTACAGTATGTGTGTATAGTAGCTGTTAACTCTATGAATTTATGGTGCAGTACGTGTGTATAGTAGCTGTTAACTGTGTTAATTTCATGGTACAGTACATGTGTATAGTAGCTGTTAACTGTGTTAATTTCATGGTACAGTACATGTGTATAGTAGCTGTTAACTGTGTTAATTTCATGGTACAGTACATGTGTATAGTAGCTGTTAACTGTGTTAATTTAATAGTGCAGTACGTGTGTATAGTAGCTGTTAACTATGTTAATTTCATGGTACAGTACGTGTGTATAGTACCTGTTAACTGTGTTAATTTCCTGGTACAGTACATGTGTATAGTAGCTGTTAACTGTGTTAATTTAATAGTGCAGTACGTGTGTATAGTAGCTGTTAACTCTATGAATTTTATGGTGCAGTACGTGTGTATAGTAGCTGTTAACTGTGTTAATTTCGTGGTACAGTACATGTGTATAGTAGCTGTGAACTGTGTTAATTTCATGGTACAGTACATGTGTATAGTAGCTGTTAACTGTGTTAATTTCATGGTACAGTACATGTGTATAGTAGCTGTTAACTGTGTTAATTTAATAGTGCAGTATGTGTGTATAGTACCTGTTAACTGTGTTAATTTAATGGTACAGTACGGTACTATACACACGAACTGTACCAGGAAATTAACACAGTTAACAGGTACTATACATACAGCTGTTAACTGTGTTAATTTAATGGTACAGTATGTGTGTATAGTACCTGTTAACTGTGTTAATTTAATGGTACAGTACGTGTATGTATAGTACCTGTTAACTGTGTTAATTTAATGGTACAGTATGTGTGTATAGTACCTGTTAACTGTGTTAATTTAATGGTACGGTATGTGTGTATAGTAGCTTTTAACTGTGTTAATTTCCTGGTACAGTATATGTGTATAGTAGCTGTTAACTGTGTTAATTTCCTGGTTCAGTACGTGTGTATAGTAGCTGTTAACTGTGTTAATTTCATGGTACGGTATGTGTGTATAGTAGCTTTTAACTGTGTTAATTTCCTGGTATGGTATGTGTGTATAGTACATGTTAACTGTGTTAATTTCCTGGTACAGTATATGTGTATAGTAGCTGTTAACTGTGTTAATTTCATGGTTCAGTACGTGTGTATAGTAGCTGTTAACTGTGTTAATTTCATGGTACGGTATGTGTGTATAGTAGCTTTTAACTGTGTTAATTTCCTGGTATGGTATGTGTGTATAGTACATGTTAACTGTGTTAATTTCCTGGTACAGTATATGTGTATAGTAGCTGTTAACTGTGTTAATTTCATGGTTCAGTACGTGTGTATAGTAGCTGTTAACTGTGTTAATTTCATGGTTCAGTACGTGTGTATAGTAGCTGTTAACTGTGTTAATTTCCTGGTACAGTATATGTGTATAGTACCTGTTAACTGTGTTAATTTAATGGTACAGTACGTGTGTACAGTAGCTGTTAACTCTATGAATTTTAGGGTGCAGTACGTGTGTATAGTACCTGTTAACTCTATGAATTTTAGGGTGCAGTACGTGTGTATAGTACCTGTTAACTCTATGCCTTTTGTGACCCTCAAGAAACTGCCCTAATTGATATGTGTAAAATTTTCTTTTCATTCTCACTGTCTGTTATTTTATATAAGAATAATAAAACAAGGGAACAAGTAATGAAGTAATTTCACAAAAATAAACTGCTATAAAAACAGTTTATCAGAGAAAATGAATCCTTTTGGATAAATTATGGTGAACATTTCACCCTTGCATGTTCATGCAAGAGAGAGAAAGGAATTCTGATAAAAAATGTATTTGTTTGGATACTCAAGAAAAGCTAACAATTTTCGTTTATATAATTATCTGGTAATTACTAAAACCGATAAATAAATATCAGGGAAACCAGGTGGAAGACACTGAAGTCAATCAGTTTGCAATATATATATTAATCAGTTGCCAAATTTTTAATACTATTAAGATCATTTTGTACCAAAGATAATATGAGCTCAATAACAGGGTAAACATATCGATAAATGTTCTGTTAAGGTATCATATTACATTTTTGTTAAACATCAAATGTTAAGTATTTTGAATCCTTATAATTTATCTATGATGAAGCAAGTATTTATTAAAACTGTCATTTTATTATTGGCTGATAGGAGCATCAATTTTTTTCTTTCCAGCTCAAGAAGGAGGAGGTTATTAACAACTTTTCACACGTCTGTAGTCTGTCTAGTTCATTTTTGTTATTTTTCTTAATATTGTTCAGCCAGACACTAATCTGGAGCAGGTCTTTCTAATCTCTGCAAAGAACACTAAACGTGGATCTAACTTCAATGTGTGTGAGAACCACGACCTTTTTAAATGTTAATATAATGGTGAAATGGTACTTCTTACTTCTTAGATCGTAGTTTCTTGTCTAGTGTCGTTGTGTAAATACTGATGCATGTGAGGTTCGGGTTGAAATGTAACAAGCATTAGTAAGAGAAGGGTCCTTTTAGATAACCGATTATGTTCCTACTGGCAGCTTTGTTTCTTTTTAGTTAAAATACTAACATTCTGTTTCTTTGTTGGTGAAAAACGAAGGGCGTTGTTTCTATTGCAGTAAACGAAGGGCGTTGTTTCTATTGCAGTGCTATAGGAAGTTATAGTCTACAGTAGAGGCGCTGGAGTCCTGTATTTTTGTGATATGGAAATACTTTTGTCAATAGATCGTAACTATCAGCTTATACTTGTGTATATATTAAGTAGCACTTTTCATATTTATTAATCAAGATAATACAGTACTCTGGTTAGAACAGTTTATTTCAATTTGAGGAACAAGCTAGGGTGTATTCAGGCTCTATTTATTGTGTCTAAAGTAGTAGCTGTGTTTCTTGAACCTATTGTTCAAAGTTTTCTTATTGGTAATAATGCTTTATTATGGTGCACTGTTTGTTATTGTTTGATTTGTGCTGTTCTCATTATTGCTAAATATTTAATAATAAAGTGGTTTAGAAAAATATCTTTCAAAACAATGTGAAACATATTTATAAAGTTTTATACACCATATGGTTATTGATATATGATTAAACTTCGTCAAAGTACAGAGAAAAAAAAAGTGGGAATTGCACGTGACTGGACACGTCTTAACTGTGTGACCAAAGTAGTTAATATAGGTGGTAGGTGAGGAAATTGAAAAGGATCATTGTTAGTTAAGATGAGTAATTCATTGTAGAATCCAGTATTCTTAGTTCATTAATGATAAGATTGAAATATGTATAACAGATTTGATTAAACTGTTTCTGTGAAAGAACTTCTTATTAAGAATTGATTAATCTGTAATATTGACAAGTTTAGAAGATGTTTCGTGATTTCTTCCCACTGTACTGTTCTTTGGGGTAATAAATGAGATACCAAATTAACCTTGCGTCTATTTTTTTTATTTTGATTTGTCATTATAAATTTGAAGTAACTTCGGTCGCTTCTTGCTGTCACAATTTCATGTTATACTGTCGTTTTGAATTAAGTGCTTAGCTTCCATCCAATACTGAATATATTCAAAGGAGAACTTGTATACATTACTAACACTCAAACTAATGACTTGTATAACATATTGGGTATTGTTGTTTTGCCTGTTACAACATTCAGTGTAAAGAACTCATAATTTTTTTACGTAATCTACTCAGTGGGATTAACTGCAATATTAACGGTATTTTTGTTTATGTTTTTCTGTAGCTCATTTGCGTATGAGAAATAAAAACTTGAATGTATTATAGCAGAAATTTAAATAACTGAAATACGTTATTGTTTAACCCTGAAATCAAGATTCGATCGTACAAAAGATAGTGGTCGTCAAAATATCTGGTAAACGATAATAATCACTAAAACTGCTTTTCGTTGATAAGTTAGTATTAGAACTTTCACTTAATACAACTTTTGTGATCGTCAATTCACATCTTACTTAGAAATCTCCGTTTGAAAATGTGTTCTTCTGCACTTTAAAAGTAATTTACCTATAGAAGACCTGTTTTCAGTGCTAAACTGGTCAATATACTTTGGGAAAAGGTTTGCAAGTCATGTTTACCCTAGTCTCGGTTTCAAGTACAATGTTGGAAGGCATGATGTTTACATGAAATGGAAACGTTGTGAATCGAGTCAAAATGGAGTTCCTGTTGAAGTTAAAATGGCCAGAAAAGGAAGTTGTTTGAAAACTTTAGAACCCAATCAAAAGAGGACTAGGATACTGAAAGCAAGAAGAATAAGGTTCTTTGTTCTTTTCATTGTAACCAATTTTATTGTCTTACATTATTCACTGATTGACATACTTAAATATGATTGGTCAATAACAACCAGCGAAAGTCATAAGAAATAGTTAACAAACTTTTATTGTGTGTGAAGAGTGTCCTAAATGTCATTGATGTGTTAATAACCATTCTTACAGCTGTTTCGACAGTTACATAATCGTTTTCAAGACCTTACTGTTACGACATCGAGGTCACGTGACTAGTATCACGCCACGTCATTCTCGAACTTTCACGTCTTTTCCTTAAATTTCTTTCTAGATATAGTGTAGTCTTGTATATATATATATATAAGACCGGCCACGAAGCGATGGAAAGGTAATGAGTAATTGAACTCGAGCACGTGAGACGTTCGTTGAGAATTATAGCGCGACTGTTGAAATTAAGTGTATCGTAAAGTTGTATTCGGAAAGAATAAACCACTTTTATTTAAGAAAGGACTTGTGTCGCTAAAGTTTAGTCGGAAAGAATTTCCGGAAAATTAACTAACGACTGGAGGCGTAACATTACTTTCAAATGGAGTTTTGATTCTAAACTATTCTGTTATACAGGCATTTGCTCTTTATTACGTGCATGTAATATGAGAGGGGGGACATTTATTTGTAACATTCATAAATGTGCGTCAGACCTTAGCTTTCTTGGCGGATGTTTCAGTTAAGATATGAGACGATATATCTGTTGTTTGATAAGCCTAATCTACACATACTTGGTTACAGCTGGTATCTATGTTGTTATCTTACGTTAAAACAAGTAAATTTGGATATAAATAGGGAAATCCGCTGCCAAAAAAGTTGTTATACGTTTTATAGTTCAATGTTTCCTTTAATATTTCGAATCGTGATAAAAATGAATACAAGCTAAAGGTGTGGCTTGTTTCAATAATATTATAGCACACTAAAAGCTCAAAGGACGAGAAAACTCGTGTTGTTAATTCTCTTTGATAATCAATGTGGGTCGCGAGTTCGAATCCCGTCGCCGAACACGTTTGCCCCTTCAGCCTTTTGGACGTTATAATGTTACTGTCAATCCCACTTTTCGTTGGTAAAAGAGCAGCCTAAGAATTGGCGGTGTTGATTAGCTGCCCTTCCCTCTAGTTTATCAATTTTAAATTAGATACGACTAGCGCAGATATCCTTCAAGGAGCTTTGCTCGAAATTCAACAAAACAAACTCTTTGGTAGTTCAAAACTCCGAATGGCTTGAATCTGCACACATATCTTTGAAATTGCCGGTGGATCAGTGGTAAAACTAAGGGCTTATAACGCTAAAAATCGGGTTTTGATAACCGCAGTGGGCAGAGCACAGATGGCTCTTCGTGTAGCTTTTTATGTCCCAGTACTTTAGCTACATTGATTCACGTTTCTCTAGATCTTTTTTTTTTTCGCATCATTTCTTTAAATTAGTGAGTGTGTATCCAACTTAAAGTTCCTTGTAATGATTACTCGATCAAACAACACTGCTTATTTGAACTTGTGTCTGTGATCTGTTAGCGATAAATTTGA